AGTATTTATTTTAAACCAGCATTGCTGGCTGGGGAATTCTGGGAGTTGAAGTCCACACGTCTTCAAGTGGCCAAGGTTGAGAACCCCTGCTCTCAGGCAACAGGAGATCAGCCTGAGAGCCTTTGCACCCCAGAGATGCTCTTGGATGGCACCGTCAGAATAAGGGGGGCTCCTCCATCGCCAAGAGAGCTGTGGGTGCCTGAAGCCTCTCTCATTCATGGGCTGGAAGGGGATGAAGGCCACATCACGGGGACACGGGCAGGGCATCCTTGGGCTGTGATGAGATGCCAGAGGAGAAGGGATATAAATGTTCTGCTCTAAATCTTGGCCAAGTTCCCTCCAAGCTGGCTCAAAAGAATTCGTGGGGAGCAGTTATACCTTCATCCAACCTTCCTCTTCCAACCATGGGGTGTCTTATTTTCTCAGAGGGGGGAGCCCGGTGGTTTGGTTCCCCAGCTTGGCATCGCTCCAAGGTCCCACAGGGAGGGTTCAGAGAGCTTCTAGCTCACACTGCTGTAGCTTCCGAGGTCTCTCGATGCAAGACACCCCTGATTAATGATGAGAAAAGCTGCCTCTGGTGCAGCAGAAGTTTTTCCACCTCCCACATGTTGGTTAATGGTTAATGGCTCGTTTTTCCCCAGCGGAAAATTTCCACCTGGCCCATGTGACACGAGCAGATGCTCTGAATCCAAAACCTGACTGCTCAGCGTCTCTGTGTGCACGCGCATGTGCTGTACACAGACAGTGTTATCACGCTGAAGGGTGTGCTATTTTTAAAATGTTCCAGAGCCACAGGCCATGCCGAATGGGCAATTTCAGCATCGTCCTAACGAAGTCTCTCCCTGGAAGCAGCAGATTTGATTACAGGTGGCTTTGCTGGAAATGTGCCGCGTTCAAATAAATGCATTAAAAAATAAGATATTTTTCTTCCTGGGATGCACGGGGCAGAGGGGGATGTATTTCCCTGCTATTCCGCCTTCTGATAACGTTAACCTGGAACGGCCACAACTCCACAAGGATCAGTTTGCTAGTCCAGGGCAGGCTGGAGCACTGGGAAAACCTCTTTGTCACCGGTGTGAGTTTGGGTGGGTGAACTGGGGGACTGGCCACAGGCCAAGGAACCCCAGATCAGAGCTGCCCCCAACTTTGGTGCTGCAGAGGCCAGAGGCTGAAGGGGTTAAAATCTAGGTCTTGCTTTTGAACAAGGGGCAAAGCTGGCTTAGCTGCAACCTGGGTCAGTTTTTCCTGCTTAGGATGTGGCATCACTGAGGGTTAGTTTAGGTGTTTAACGGTTTTTTAGTGTTTTTGTTAGTGTTAATGGCACGAACCCAGAAATGGGTAATTCCGTCTGCAGGTTCAGCTTCTTCGGCCAATACAGTCAGGAAGACCCTCTGCAACGTGGACCTGCCATGCAAAATGCCTGCGGGGATCCTATTTTCTTGGAAAAAATAAAGGGGCAAGTCTGAAAGAGGCTCAAAAGGATAAAACTTTGCCATCGTTTATGTTTATCGCTTTGCTTTACAAAGGAAAATTCAAGAGCAAACCCAAGGAAAACTCGACAAGAAGGCATATTCTAATAACAGGGTCTAAAATCAATCAGTATGCGTAACTTTATTTTAAAAGGATAATTCAGTTTTCAGATTTCTCACGTGAATGTGGAAGACTGTGCCTTAAGTGATACCATTTGCACGGTAAAAGTTAAATGGCCAAAATAAAGGATAAAAATGAGTTTTTGAAAAATAAATAACTAGAGCTGGTCTAGTGCAGTGTTTCTCAGCCTTGGCCGCTTTCAGATGGGTGGACTTCAACTCCCAGAATTCCAGCTGGGATGGGGAATTCT